CCTCGGAGTGTTCCGTTTATCGTCGGCGTGTGTCCTGACTGTGTATCCTTGGTGGCTGGGTATCCTTGGTGGCTGGGTATCCTTGGAGGCTGTGTGTTTTTGGTGGTTGGGTATCCTTGGTGCCTTTGTATCCTTGGTGGTCCTGGCTAGGGTGCAGGAGCGGCGATGCGTTGATTCCTGGGAGGATTCTTGGTGGTGGTGCGAAGACCTGTGCGAATCCTTGTCGGGCTGGGTATCCTTGCTGGTTGAGTCGTCCTTGGTAGTCCTTGTGACAGGAGTGTCCTTGTTGCTTGAGTTTGGTGGTCGATGGTATCTCCCGTGATTCCGTTGATTGATTCCGATTGTGTGTAGGTGGCGACTTACATATTCCCGGCTCTGCCGGCATCGGGCGTCCTACTCGGAAAGAAAGACCAGTTTTGCGCAAGGGATAGGGGAACTAGATATCTGATGGCGTGGATGTCGGCTGCGGCGTCGATGTGGCTTAGGCTCTGCGGCTCTCTCTCTCTCTCTCCCTTGTTCTGTTTTCTCGCGATTACGTGCTCGTGTGCGTGTGCGTATTTTGACTCTGCGTTTGACTTTACATGCTTGCCTTTATTTCGTGTCGTGTGCGATGACATTTCCTCGTGGTTACTCTTTTCTCAATCTTTCTCTCTCTTGTTCTGATTCGTCCCTTTGCAAAAATGTGCGTGCTCCCCTAGCTTTTCGTCCCTAACCTCACATTTTTTACCTAAATTCTCCTGATGGTTCTTTACGCCACGAAAGGTGGAATTATTCTTGCATTATCTTGCATAGTCCCTGTTCGGGCGCCATCTGGGCCATAACGGGCCAGGATATAAACTTCAGTCAGTCCAGGGTCCCCTATTTATGTTTCCGAAGACAGGCAGGAAAAGGATGTTCCGGCGGGAGGCGGGCTTCTGTTTAGGTGTGCGTATCGAGGGGGAGTCGGGGTCCGTGCAGAACTACGCCCGGGCACTGGCCGTCGAGGAATCGGCCCGTCGTCCGAGTACCGACACCACGCTCATCCGGGGCAGTCAGCAGACCTGGACAGGCTACGGACGGCCGATCCCGTCGACCGGGAATCGATTGTCCGGCCCCGTCAGCCGGGTGTCGGTGCCCCAAACTACGAGGGAGGATATGGGCGGCCGATCCCGTCATCCGGGAATCGGTTGTCTGGCCCCGTCAGCCGGGTGCTCGATCCCCCAATACGAGGGAGGATATGGGCGGCCGATCCTGTCACCCGGAAATCGGTTGTCCGGCCCCGTCAGCCGGGTGCCGTTGCCCCAAACTAAAAGGTAGGATATGGGCGGCCGATCCCGTCACACGGGAATCGGTTGTCCGGCCCCGGTGCCCCAAACTACGAGGGAGGGAAAAGAATGAGAGAGAGAGGAATGCGGTTGGGTCATCAGGAGAGAGGAATGTGGTTGGGTCATCAGGAGACCGCCTCCCCCCAGTTTCCTAGCGGCAGAGAATGGAGGAAATAATCTGGGGCCGAGTGCTCTTGTATTATTCCTGGCATTTTATTTACATTGTCTTACCTAAGTTCTAAGCCGGTCCCTACGCTATTCCCTACATCCCGCGCACCGCTGTCCTCCCACGTTTGGAATTGGCTCTTGGCCGGCTCACCCGTACTACTCCTCAGCTGAGGACTCCATGTCCGCCGGCCACGTGCTTTCTTGGGGGTCGTCTTGCTGCTTTTTGTTTTTCCGCGATTACGTGTGTTCTTTTTAAGTTTCTCAAACTGACTCCCCGATCGGCGGGCAGCGGGAGTTGCTCGAGGCCCTTCTCTCTCTTTCGCTGTTTTCGTGCGAGCGTCCTCTTCTCTTTGCAGCTTTTCTGCGTCGGCATCACTTTGTGTGATCGTGCTGCTCTCTCTCGTTGGTTGGCGCTGTGAGCGCGATGTGCCCAATGCGGTGTTGGCTCTGCCGGTATGATGTTGGCTCTGCCGGTCGTGGTTTGCGCTGTGAGCGCGATGTGCCCAAGGCGGTGTTGGCTCTGCCGGTATGATGTTGGCTCTGCCGGTCGTGGTTTGCGCTGTGCGCGCGATGTGTCCAAAGCGGTGTTGGCTCTGCCGGTATGATGTTGCGGGGCGATGTTGCGGACGTGATGTTGCGGGTGTCATGTTGCGAGATGGCGGTGAAACCTAACGGGCTTTCGCTACGCCTTAGCTATGTATGTACAAGTGCCCTTCGTGGGTCTTAACGAACGTAAATCTAGGTGCCCTCTGGGGGTCTTAACTAACTTAAATCTAGGTGCCATCCGTGGGTCTTAGCTACTTCTTAAGCTAACCTAACTCCTAGCTTACACTCTACTCTTAACTATATATACATGGTGGGGCGGGGGAGGGGATGGATACCTCACAATATAATATTATTTATTATGTTTGATTTAATAGCTTCGGCACTAATACGCCGCCCGCACAAATTATAATGAGTAAAGAGTAGCACACACATAAGGACACTTTTTTAGCAAAACCTGTTTTTAGCGAACCTCTGCTGCACGTTTAGGGAAGCAAAAGAAGTGCAATTTTTTATTTGAAGTTCTGCCGAGGTGCAAAGCACACATAAGCCAGGTCGTCCCTGGCAGAACTCTGACTGTGTCGATAAGGTTTCTCAATCCTGTAGCTGATGTTTAGGACATTTCCGGCGGATTGAAAAGTGTCGATATATTGTCGAAGAAAATCAAACAGTCATTGTGGTACACCCGCTTGGGGTATTAACCGCAGTGACTTGGAACGCTCTGACTGTGCCTAAAGCGTCGCCAGCCAGACACAATATCAATTGATTGCATTTTTCAATATCGTGCAGAGTGTCATCTTTGTCGACAAATGTTTCGAAAAGGCTTATAATTTTTTATTTCTTGCTTCGATTTGATTCTGAATCAAAAAACCGATTTCAATGTGCGAATTCAAAAATCGACATTCTTATTCAATTGGATTTAGAGATAGTCGACCCTCTTGTTATACCCGACACTCGTAGCGTTATAGGGTGTACTAGATTCATTGAAAAGTATGTTACAGATTGAAGGCCCGTTTCCGACCCTATAAAGTATATATATTCTTGATCACGATAACTAGCGAAGTCGATTGAGCCATATCGGTCGGTCCGTCCGTCCGTCCGTCCGTATGAACGCTGCGATCTCAGGACCTATAAGAGAAACAATGTTGAGATTAAGCATGAAGATTCTTGACGTCCCTTAGCAGCAGTTGAAATTTAGTATGTATAATCTCTAGATGCCAGCGCATCTTAAGGTGGTAGCATTATCCGGCCACACCCATTCTTACGCCCACCAAGCTCAAAAGACGCTTTTCGCATTTTCTAGAAAAGCGGATATCTCGGAAACTATAAGTCATAGAAAGTTTGGATTAAACATGTAGGTTTTTATGATGCCCCCAATGCGAATTATTTTCTTTCGATCAAGCCACGCCAACTCTAACGCCCACAAAATCTGATAAATACAAAAATCTCGGGAACTAGAGTGGATCGCAACCTATTTCGTGCAGCTACCAAAAAATATATAAAAAAAAAGAAAGTTTTCGATTTTACCAGGTCAACGATCCGCAGCATTGAGCAGGAATAGTGAAGTCCTGGCTCATCAGGATTGAAAATTTGTGGGAAATATTGGATAAATCTGTAAGGAAGAGGAAGATTTCTGTCAAAAACGATCTGAATACTGTTCCTATGGAAGAATGGCCAAAAATCCCAGTGGAATCCACAAAAAAGTTCGTTACTTCCATGAGAAAATATGAGAAAATATGACATACAAAATATTAGATGTTAAATTACACATCATAAGTTAAGGATAATCTTCTGCACGAAATAAGATTCGGCATGAAAAATGCCTGAATTTTTTGTTCTTATTACTAAAGTTATTTGTTTTTATGATTTTGAAAATTTTTAAGTTTAATAAGCATGTTAAAATTCCCTGTTAAAAAACTGCCTTGAAATTTTTTTAATATCTATTTTGGTTTAGCAGGAATAAAAACTCAAACTTTTTTTTGGTAGCTGCCCAAATGAGCTGCGATCCACTGTATAAGAGCTTGAAAGAGCTTAAGAAAACGTATTTAAGAAATGCCACTGCAGCTTGCTACGAGTTTTCATCCGCCCACGCCCTCTCTAACGCCCTCGAACGGCGGAAAATTGTGGCGTCCATAATATTATAGTCTATGTCTTCGTATGACATTGTATAACATATATTTGTCAATATTTATCAATTTACCAAAGATTTTAGGTGGCGGTTGGGGAATTTCCACTAGTAGTAGTTCCTTTAATAATTTAATAAATTTTCTCCCATTCTGTGCAATTATAAATTATCGTCAAACGTTTTACACAAAATCATTCCCGTTATTCTCGTATTTTAAGAGGCAAAAGGCATATTAGGCCATTAGTCAACTGCCCAAAGAAGACCCGTGTTTATTTATTTTCATATCAAAAAACCAATTTAGAAAAATAAACCAAATATTTGATGCATTGTCTAAGCACAACTTGTGCTAAATAAGCCAAGTCATTTCTTTTTTAGTGTTTTTAGTGTTTCAAAATGTGCCGAGTCATTAGACACTAATATTGACTACGAATCGCTAGATGTTATGAATTGGGACCATTTAGACTATTCAAATATCGATTACATATCGATTCCTATTATATAAATTGATTTCAAATACGCGTTCCTTAACCCACAGTTTCACAATTACCGCTAAGGTAGTGCCGATATATTAATACGCGCTTCCGGAGATGATGTCATGACTGGGTTAATATCTATATCATCCCTGAAGTAGTTACAGATTGTGACTGCCTGCCACAGAAAGTATTTACCTAACAATGTTTTACAGCCGGCAGTCTTCTCACTTGCAAGTCGGCCATATTTAAGTAACAATTTGTTAAAATAATACAATATATATACATAAAAAGTGCGAAACTGTAAATTATTAGTGTGCAGCAGTATTCGACTACTTTTAAACTGTGCCAATTTGCAATATAAAAAAGTTCGTAATATAAAAAATAACGTTTTAAAACAAATTTTTCAATACTAAAATTAATTGAAAAAAATTAACGAGTTTTAAATGATGTGTAGAAACATTTTAATGTTGTTTGTGAATGACCAATATAGTGACTAAGACTTAGCAGATATTTTGACATATACATATATATAAGACATAACAATTTGGTAAAAAAAATAATAATTTAAAGCATTTGCTGTTGTTTTGTATTGCAATACTGAAAGAGTTTTTATGAAAACCATATGACTTAAATGTGCATTCACAGAAATGTGCTTATCTACATAAATATTTTTTGCGCATATTTGCATACATATGTGGCTAGTGAAAAATTTCGTAATGTTCTGCAGCAAGAACGCTTAAACCGCAAAATAATCAATTATTTCAGACACAGGCTTCTATTTACAATGGGTGACCGTGACATCCCGACCGTACCTGTAACAACATTAGCTGGTTTAACCAGCACTTCCGATTGTAAGTTATTTGAGTGTCATAATTGTATATTTCATGTCATTAACTTTGCATTTTTTATTTCAATATTAAGTGCTAAGCGAGTTACCAGTGTCGGATTCGCTTCAGAGTGCAGCTTCCTTAAATAAGTCTCTACTTTTTCATGCTTTGGTGGCTAATGAATCAAATAATTTACTTTCTGTCCGTGATGAAAATCTAGTTCGACAATTGGTTACTGCCATTGAAAGAACAAACTCTGACAACATGTTAGTATGGTTATTGTTTATGCGTAAATCATAATATTAATTGATTTTTTTAGTGAGTTAAAATCACATTACTCAATTGAAGAACCAGGAGCTAATATTAAAACACATCCCGAACTACTACAAGGAATTTATCATTTTCGTCCAGCTGTTTTCAACACTTCGCTTAAGATAAGTAAGTTTATAAAAATATAACAAATTGTAAATTTTAATATTTCTAGACTTTAATATTTCAGACTCTTCTAAAGAACATGTGGCAAATGTTCGATTTGATGAAAGTAATTTGCTTATAGATCCATACATAAGACCGGAATTTGATATATCAATAAATTCGAATAAAGATTTATTGCAGAAAAAACACCATCAGGCATCTAAGAATCAGTTTAACAGGTAGGTATTAAAGTGTACTGGTGATATCAATACTTACCACTAGAGAAATCTATTTTCCAATTTTAGTATGACTTCAGGAGAAATGTCTGAAGAAGTCTTTCATATAAACATTAAGAATAAACAATTTCCGAAGAAAATAGAAGAAAGTATATTGAACTCTGATCAAAATCTGAATAAAACAGTAACATCTGAGGCTCATGTACAAATTAATTCACCAGACAAAAGTGGAATGCAATCATTAGTACAGGAACAGTATTTCAGAAACCAAGCAGAAAGTAATTCAAAATATTTCATTCAAACCCAAACAGACATTCACCAATCCGTTCAAAATAGTTGCAACATATTTCCAAATGAGTCATCTAATTTTGATTTGGATTCTGTAAATAGTCAGAATGTATTATTTTTACAAAATTATCCGATGACTGAAAATACTCAAATGTATGCGTCTTCAATGGAATATGGTGAAATAAAGCAGCAAATGCAAGTCCCTGAAGTCTCTGATTCAAGCTTGGAACAGTTGCCAGGAACTGTAAACTCAGTAATGATTAAGAACAATAGCCTTGCAGGTAGTTCACAGCATCAACTACACCAACTACTATCAGCAACTACATCGACATCTACTTCCTCAAGTGGCATGTCTCAGGTTCGGGTATGTATAAATCGTCTTAATATTGATGATTCTCGCCTTATGCAACAAAGTATTAAAAAGTTTGTACAAAAGTCACCAGAATTGGCTAAAAGTATGGGGTTACTACAAGTATCGGCCCAGCAACAACATGATAACTTGAATATCTCGTCTGTAGTTGTGAAGAAAAGAATTACAGAGAATGGTGTTGGTAGTACAACTAATATAGTCAACATTCCAATAGACACATTTTCTACTATAAAAGCCGATGAAAAACGATTTTCTGCAAAACGAAAACTTGCCATATCAATTGGTGACATTCCACCGGAACAAATATGTAAGTATAATTACACATATTAAATAATTTATAATATTAAATAACATTCGTTAAATTATAATAGTCTCTAAGCCTAAAATGCGACGAATCGAAAGGGCAATGCCTATCTCAAAATGTTTAAAGGAAGACGTTACTCGATCTCAAACATATCAACAATTTATGCGCAATATGGATCAAATAATTGAAACGTTAGACGATAGCGAATCTCCTAACTTTGACTCAGGTATGTGTAAACTTTGGAGCATATTGAAACTTTTCTAGTAAACACAAATACAATTAAATTTTATTTTGTTTGTTGAAAAGAATGTAGCTGTAGAATGTAGTAAAAGAATGCATTTCCGACCAATAAATCCATGCACGTCTGTGACGAAGATCACGGCAACTATAAAAATTGTCTTAGAGGTGCCTGCGCAGCACAAGTTTTTTGTTGGCATTGTCTCCTTTAAGGACCGCAAGTTGCGAAAATCTGTAACATCCACTTAGAAAGTCAATTGATATTTTCTATTTATCATATCAGCTAAAAAACTGGTAAAAGGGAAGTAAAGGTAAAATATGCCATAATACGAGTATAAACAAGAAGAAATGCTGTCGTCGAGTGCCACGACTATAAGAGCCCGTTACCGCTTTACACAATTTTAAATATTAATTTTGATAGTACAAATGGAGAAAGCGCCACCTTTTGTCAAAAAATAATCTTTACTAAATATTGTGTTCCAAAACTTACAACTCCCTGCGAGCAAAAGTTACATATATTCACAGTATCGGACCAACTAGAGTCTGTGGGCGAACGTTGAAACGTTATCATCTTGTCGAACCTTTTGCATCTGAAAAGAAGTAGTTGTAGTCCTAGCGAATCATTTGTATCTGAAAAAAAAGTAGTTTTGGAATACATGAGAAGTTAAGCATAGACTTCCTGTGACTGACAACTTTTGAACCCGCTTCCTAACAGTTTATTGTGCTTTACGTCGTGTTGTTCGTTTGACCTTTGTGATTGGCATTATGTCTTTGAACGACAGCAAGTTGCAAACATTTGTACAGTCCACAGAAAAGGTAAATAGATGCGTGCTATCAACTAAAAAACTCATAAAAGCAAACTTTAGGAAAATAATCTATAATTTAAAAAAGAATGTGGTTGTAAAATTATTGTGCTGTTTTTATTGATTGATATTAGCTAGGTTGTGCCGAAACATACAACTCCCTGCGACCAAAAGTTATATTCACCGTATCGGTGGATATGCTTGTAAGATGTGTAGGGGCGAACTAGTGGAACTATTAGAGCTAGAAAGTTGCAATTCAGTATGTATAATCTTGAGATGCCAGCGCATCTTATGAAGATCCCATTATACATACTACACCACACCCACTCGAACTCCCACCAAGCTCGAAAGACGGTTTTTGCATTTTGTAACTATAAGTGATAACTATAAGTGACTATAAGTGATAGAAAATTCGGATTAAGCATGTAGGTTTTTATGATGACCCCAAAACGAATTGTTTTTTTTTATCAAACCACGCCCACTGTTAGACGTTAAGCCCACAAAACGAAAAAATCTCGGGAGTTATAAGAAAAAGTTGTGATTAAGATAAGTATTTAAGAGATGCCACTGCAACTTGCCCCACTATTTTTCATACGGCCACGCCCACATACCACAGAAAACTGTCGTGTCCATAATATTATAGTGTATGTCTTCGTTTGAGCTTGTACAACATATTTTTGTCAATATCTATCGATTTACCAAAGATTTTTCAAATCGGAACATTATTTCGCTATTTATGAAGAAATTTAGGTAATAAATCCTAACAAGGGCAGTGACGTCACTATCAGTTACTCAACATGTTTTCTTTGACAATTTGTGGATTTTTACTAGCAAAATGAATATTTTAAAATTGTATCGGGTATCTTATAGTCGCGGCACTCGACTATAGCGTTTCTTCTTGTTTTGGTTGATATTAGCTAGGTTATTCCGGCGGTTATGCTTGTGGGATGAACTAAACTAGATACTGTGAATCGTAGCCATCCTAGCGAATCTTTGGCATCTGAAAAGAAGTAGTTTTGGAATACTTGAGAAGTTAAGCATAGACTTCCTGTGACTGACAGCTTTTCAACCCGCTGCCTAACAGTTTATTGTGTTTAAAAATTAATAAGAGTTTTTAATAAAGTTTATTTTGTGAAATGCAGGGTTTTACGGCGCGTGCGTACGAAAAGGAGTTTCTATTTGAACTAACTTATTTGACTAACATTATCTTATGCGATGGACAGAAGACACAACGAATTCGCCTAAGCGAAAAGCTTTATTGGGCTCCGCTCCCCCTCTTTACGCTGAACGACTCTGAAGGGACGACGTCCTTCAGGATTGTCCAGGTAGAAGCGCCAACCTATGGACGGCGCGCCGGTATGTTCCCTCCGCTGTTCGGAGCGACGACGTTGGTGGAGCCAATAGTGGGCCGCCGATCAGAAGATGCCCTGGTGTTAGGGCTTCGCCGACCGTCCGAAAGAACAGGTGCTTTGCAGACTTCACATCTGCTCCCCACAGACCGCCGAAGTGAGGTGCTCTCCCAACTGATGCACATGTATTTTGTTTTCTTCCTTTTTCTGATCCAATGACTTCAAGCGTCAGAAACCTTTGTTCAAGAAAGTTTAAAAATTCGTTCAAAGGTTAAATTTCTCTTGTATTTTGAACGGATTGTTCATACAACAAGTGGTTTTGTCGATCAAGCTTTTTTGTTAGAAGACAGATTAGAAGTGGATCCCATTTGTCTGTCTCTATGCCGATTTGTTATCATTAAATGATCCAATAATTTTTGATTTAAGGTATTACTTAATACTCCTTTATGGTTAAAGCGTTTTTCAAGTGTTTTCCACGCAGTTGATTAATTTGCCTCCGTTAGTGATGAATGGCGAATTGCCGCCTATTCATTAACGTTAGTCTTCAAGTACCACATTTTTTTTATAGTAGGTAACGTTGATTCATGAATAATTTTTCTGAATATATTATGAAACTTTTGCCATTTTAAGTAATCCCCATCAAATTTGGTATACAAATTTTGGCGACCTTTGGAATATGTAATGCATTTTGAACAGCACTTGGTGGAGAACTATTTGTTGTCTCCTTTTTCACATACATTTCGGTTTGTACATTTATGACTGCATCTTCTGCTGCCATATATCTGCTGTCGTTATATCCAAGTTCCTTCGGGTCCTTAATTTTTTTTTAAATTTGGACATGAATATCTTTTAATTTTGTTTCGTTTCTTCTGTCAGTTTATTCTAAACTGTCAAGCAACACCCTTTGTTCTCTGAACACCGATTCTATTTCAATGTCTTCTGCTGTGAATGCGATGGATGTAACATCCGCTTCCAAGAGAGACGACTTATTGTTGAATTTTGTCTTATAATCCTCAATCAGCTGCTTTATTTTAAAGAATTCATTATTAAAATAATCGTGTTCTAGCCTGACTCCTTTGGGGAAATTATTTATGTCATTATCTCCGGAATTAAATGTATACCACAGGGATTCTAACGTAATAAACGTTCTCTGTACTAGGATGGCTTGGTCTTTCTGTCGACGGAATCCATTTTGTAATTCCGAATAACATTCCGAATTTGGTCTCCTATATTTTTCAGTGCCATTTTTACCATTTTATATAGTCCGATTAAAAGGTATTTTGTAATGGTTGATCAGAACATGTCTTTTTCAAGTTAAATCCTCACAGTGTTTGATCGCACACCTGAAGTAGTTGAACTTACTGTCTTTTGGCAATAGTTTCCGCACTAAGTACAGAACCAATTGAGCTGCGGAGAAGTGAATACGTCAAGAATTCTTTTCGCACTGATTTTATTGAGCATGGATCCGGGTTTATATACATGATTTGGGGTTACAAGGATATTTACTAAAGTCTAGTCTAGATACAAATGGACAACATGGTTTATTAACAGATTACAGGAAAATATCCTAAATAAGCGATTAAATCTACCAAATGGTGTGGATGCATATGGCTTATGACCCGTTTATTACATGCAGATGTGCGCAGACCAAGATATCAGCTACCTATTTATTTAGGTCAAAGTAGCTATCAGAAGCAAACGAATTGCTGCTAAGTCGAAATCGCACGGATGCCATTTTAAGTAATCCCCATCAAATTTGGTATACAAATTTTGGCTACCTTTGGAAAATGTAATGCATTTTGAACAGCACTTGGTGGAGAACTATTTGTTGTCTCCTTTTTCACATACATTTCGGTTTGTACATTTATGACTGCATCTTCTGCTGCCATGTATCTGCTGACGTCATATCCAAGTTCCTTCGGGTCCTTACATTTTTAATAAATTTGGACATGAATATCTTTTATTTCATTCCAGTATTGTGTAATGACGTGTGTGAATTTTTGTTTCGTTTCTTCTGTCATTTTTTTCATGATGCGGTCTAAACTGTCAAGCAACACCCTCTGTTCTCTGAACATCTATTCTATTTTGATGTCCTCTGCTGTGGATGCGATGGATGTAACATCCGCTTCCAAGAGAGACAACTTATTGTTGAATTCTATCTTATAATCCTCAACTAGTTGCTTAATTTTATTAAAGAATGAATTATTAAAATAATCGTGTTCTAGCGTGACTCCTTTGAGGAAATTATTTATTTCATTATCTCCGGAGTTAAATTTATCCCACAGGGATTCTAACGTTAATAAACGTTTTCTGTAGTAGGCTGGCTTGGTCTTCCTGCTGACGGAATCCTTTTTGTTATTCCGAATGACATTCAGAATTTGCTCTCCTATCGATAACTGTCCTGCCAACAACTGATGAATATTGTTCGGTGCCATTTTTACCTTTTTTATATAGTCCGATTAAGAGGTATTTTGTATATATATGTATGTAAATTGGCTTTGAACAGATCGATTTTTTTTTAGTATGTATTTTTTTTGTTGCGTGTTGTGTGTTTTGTTTTTTTGTTTGTATGAGCTTGCGCGGCATTGGTGGAACTAGTAAGCACATCCTCGAGACACTATATCCGCTGGGTTTACTTTCGTAGGGACGTGTCGCCAAATTGCTTTCTCCGACCACTCTTGGATTTCCGCTACTCGGTTCGAGACGAAAACGGAAAACGACGAGGGATGTCAGTCGGAGTCGGAGTCAGTCCCTAGGACAACTGTATTTATTGGGCAATATATTAATAGCCGTACACCATTAAGTTCTTCTATTTGCGAGGCAAAGTTTTCGTCTTG